ACTACATATTTATTTGGCAGTTGATTAGCTGGTATTAACAGCAAATAATTCATATTCATTCATAATAGAAAGAATTTCATATCCATTCATAATAGAAAGAATTTCATATCCATTCATAATAGAAAGAATTTCATATCCATTCATAATAGAAAGAATTTCATATCCATTCATAATAGAAAGAATTTCATATCCATTCATAATAGAAAGAATTTCATATCCATTCATAATAGAAAGAATTTCATATCCATTCATAATAGAAAGAATTTCATATCCATTCATAATAGAAAGAATTTCATACCCATTCATAATAGAAAGAATTTCATATCCATTCATAATAGAAAGAATTTCATATCCATTCATAATAGAAAGAATTTCATATCCATTCATAATAGAAAGAATTTCATATCCATTCATAATAGAAAGAATTTCATATCCATTCATAATAGAAAGAATTTCATATCCATTCATAATAGAAAGAATTTCATATCCATTCATAATAGAAAGAATTTCATATCCATGCACAGGCCGCAAATGATGAAATGACCAAATTAACCAGTAGTAATGTAATAAATAAAATGATTTGTGTTCTGTGAATATAAGCCTTTGGTCAGTTAAATACAAGACTCAACTTTTTATGGAATCCTGTTCCAAGTGCTAAATTAAATGATTATTGTTTACTTATAAGAAGTAGGTATGTAATGAAAAGTTGTCATAATTCTCCCTAATTAAAATAGTTTCATTGCAGTTTTAAGTATTTTTTTATCTCCAGATACTATTCATTATGTATATTGTTGACATTGCAGTTTTTGCGATCATTTCAACATTTACGACCTTTTATTTTTAGTTTTGTTGCATCTAGTAAAGTGTATATTATAGCATTTCTTTTTTATTTTAGATGCTTGATGCACTTGAAGCTAATCACAAAATGCTTCTTGAGAAAGTCCGCCATCTTGAAGCCGAGAAACATATCGTTGAGGAATACCTGAAGACATGTGTGAAGATTCCCTGGTGTCCTCATCATATTTCTTGTCCCCCCTGTACATCTACAGGGACCCCCACTGGAAAGACAGTTACAGGGAACATAACTTCCTGTAAAGGCATACCAAGCGCCATGGAGACTGGAAGTAGTGCCTCATGAAAGGGGCGTCAACTCTGATTTACTTCCTGTTCTCATGTGGTGTAAAATCCTCTAACGATGAGTTGTGTTCTCTGTGGGGATGGAATGAGCTGGTCCGGGCATAACCTACCTCTAGGACACGAGACGTTACCGTGTCGCCATACGGGCAATTGACGTATTATTTTGATACAGTCTTTGCAGTTTTATCCAGCTGCACTTTATCTTATCAGAGGAGAAGCACCAGCATGAACAATTAGTCCATTTGTTTCCCCATTTAAATAATGGGATACATATGAATGTTTAATTTTGATGAGAAATGTTGTTCATGAAGTGAGATAAGAATGTACCTGAATATTTGTGCAAATAGATTTTGTATGACAGATTATATAGACGTGATATAAGATCTGTTGTAGTTTTGTAATTTTGTACTTTTTCACCCATTCCATCACGATAATCATTAATAAAATGTTCATTAAGTATACTTTATTGTTTTTGTTGGTGTTGAATTTGTGATAACAATAGCAAATGCCTCTCTAAATCCTTTCCCTCTACCCATCTTCTTACATAAAAACAGTTTCTTTCGCATTCACTCCCAGATGGAGCAGCGCAGTGGTCCGCACGCCTGACTCGCGACGAAAATGTGCCGATTAGAATCCTGTCACAGGATTGACCTGGCTCAGCTACCGTAGACTGACATTGGGCAATGTACTTTTCTCCTTTGGTACTAAATAACCCATGTATGTTGCTGCTCCATAAAACACCAGATATCTACAATTCTAGCCAAACACGCTTGAGAGCTAACTTAAAGATCCACAATTCTATAAATATCCACAATTCTAACCAAACACGCTTGAAAGCTAACTTAAAGATCCACGATTCTATAAATATCCACAATTCTAACCAAACACTTTTGAAAGCTAGTTTAAAGAGCCTCCATTCTATACATATCCACAATTCTAACCAAACACTTTTGAAAGTTAGTTTAAAGAGCCACCATTCTATAAATATTTACAATTTTGCACCTTTTTGAAACTGGTGAAGACGAATATTTGTTTTGTTGTTTAGTCTCCATGTTTAACCTTCCTACTGACTACCTCAAAGTTCATTTAAGTACATGTTACCTTATAGGGAATAATGGTTAACAGTGATGCATATAATTATTAAATATTTTCTAATTCTAGACTCGATACAGAATTTAATATTGGCTACGAGAGAGAGAGAGAGAGAGAGAGAGAGAGAGAGAGAGAGAGAGAGAGAGAGAGAGAGAGAGAGAGAGAGAGTATATTGTTGATGGCATAAAAGTTATACGTTTGTGGAGACGGTAATGATGGCCTCATCAATTGACTGATTCAGTGTTAAAACAGTTCAATATTATAAATTTCTCAATTTGTGTTCGACCCAACATGTATTACTGTTCGCCTATAATTTGAGTTTGTACCGGCCTAAAGTACAATAATGTTCTGCCACCATCAAGGTTTTCGCACAAGAGACTGTGTAATCCTTGCTTTTAGATTATCCTACCCATATTGGAACGAAGACGGCCTTAATACGTAGCTGACACTCTTATATTATCTCTATTTTTTCATATATATTGCATATATTTTACGTATCTACACATCTATGTACTTATCCATATCGATATCTACTAATATATTTATCTCTTTATTCCTCTATATATTTTCCTCTTCATCCATCCATCCATCCATCCATTTGTCTGTCAGTTATTTATATATTGTTTTTATTTCCTCCATTGTCTGACAATTTTCACTTTTGATAATACTCTCTAGTTGAATAAAATAACAATGAAGCAAACGTAATATGTATGCAAGACAGCTAATTACTCAGTGAAGAACTGCCTCGTCAGATGTATCCGAGCTATCTTGTCTTGCCCATCAATTTAGATTTGTTCGTTTTCACAATAGTTGTGCTGACTATAGTATCAAACAACTGCAAGTCAATGTTTGCCTTCAAATGGAGTTTATATTCAGTAATTACGAATCTCGGAGATAATTCGAACGGACGAACAGCAGCAATACATTTTTACTGCTGTTGTGTATACATCAGTTTTTGAGCTCGATTTTTTAAAATCTGATCTCAGTTATCGTGTCTGTTTATTTGTCTAGTCTGTCTGTCCATTCGGATGGTGAATAGGCTAATATTGTGTGCCCCTGGTAAGGCACTTTGCTCCATTGACCTTTACGCTAAATCTACTTATGTTGATGTGCCTTAACATCCATGCCAAACCCAAAACAATAGTTTGGGTGGTATGAAAATTGGGTGGAAAATTTTAGATTTAAATGCTGGTACATCAATAATTGCATAGTATCTGTACTAAATGTTTCCTATACATAAATAAAGAATGGTGGATATAAAGTTAGGTTTTATTTCTATTATACTAACAAGTCTGAAGTATAGCGATGGCTAAAATAAAGCCAATTTTTTAGTCAGGGAGTCATGAACACTTTATACATAATAAATTTCCCAAGTGTCAAATTATAGTACCTCTGACTCTAAATGTAATGATTTAGTCAGACACAATGGTATTAGTCTAAAAATTAAAAATTACGAGACCAGTTAGACCATAAAGTTAATTCGCGAACGCAAAATAACTGTCGAAAAAAATACACAATATGATTAATTGCATAAAATACCTCAGATTGAATTTAACGATTTTCAGTGAGGTGATATTGAATGAGTTTAGCCTGAAAGCACTTGTGTCGGCATGTAAAGTTAGGTTCGGTTGCTTACAGATTTGTATCGAACAAAATTGTAGTCAAAGCCATTTGCTTGAAGGAATAACACAAAACTACAGCGCTCAGAGAGATGTATTTATCTATCCCTGTTTGTGTGGGTGGTATAGGCAGGGACCATTTTTTTAAAAATAGAAATGTCCATCCTCCTTGTTGAGAACTGATGAAACAGTACACCAATTAATGCTCTACATTAGCTTTTGCGGATAGTTTGAAAAAAAAAATTACATTATTAGCACAATAGGACAAAATTGCATTTAACTCACTTTTGCTAATGGTTGCAATCTTAACAATTTTGCCATAGTAGAAATAATTATTTTTTTTCAAAGGCAGAATACTGAAGGAAATATTATATATTTTGGGTTTATGCAGGGCATGAAAGTTGTATATATTGTGCAAATTGTGTTTTTCAAAAAGCTTTAACATACACGAAACTTGATTCATTTAACCTAAGACACTGGCATCAATCCTTGTAGAATTAAAAAGTTGAGTGTGATGCCCCACGCCATATATAGATCCATATAGGCAGTGCAGTATTTATAAATAATTTTTCCGTCTTTAATTCTGTCTTCTCAATCTCTTTTTCATTTCCTTTTCAGCATAGTTTTTTTTTTCTCCATTGGTTTAGATTGTTAGTTTTGATTTGATTTAGATTTTGCCAAATCGATAATCAATTCTAATTTTAGTCTATGTATTGTAGGTTTTGTAACAAGTTATCTGATTTCTCTCTGGATGTTTAATTCTTTTTGCAACTAGTTTTTTTTTTAACTTCTTTTCAGCATTTGGATACGTGTGTATACATGTATGTGCGTGTTTGCGCGCCCATGTGTATGCTTGAGTGTTCTGGTAACCAGGGCTTTCTTCCATACTGTTTTTCAACTAAAGTTGTTTCCTATCCTCTTTGCACTTTCCTATATTTTTTTTTTTTGCTGCATTGAGTGTGTCCAGATCGGCTATTTAAAGAGTTTGGTGTAACACAATGCGTTAAATTCTGCATGTGCCTTGTTCAGTGAGGACAGCATATAATTTATGTCCGTTTATATTTAACTACTCTGATGGTAGCTAAGTTAAACGAACAATGGAATAAATTGAAAATGGTAGTATAAGCAAACTCCGAAATTACTGTCTAGCCG